CAATGAGCATCGCCGGGTACGAAAGTTATTGTGTCAAATGGGAGCAACCAGCCGGTGAAGCCGGGAAACCACTCGGAGCGGCAGCAGGCAAAGGCGGATGCCCGCGCCGAGGGCGCGCTCCTGGCACACGACCCGGCGGCTTATGACTACATCATCGTCGGCGCCGGCTCCGCCGGTTGCGTGCTGGCCAACCGGCTCTCGGCGGACCCGGACAAGCGGGTGCTTCTGCTGGAGGCCGGCGGGCGCGACTGGAACCCCTGGATCCATGTTCCGGTCGGCTACTTCAAAACCATGCACAACCCGAACACCGACTGGTGTTACCGCACCGAAGCGGACGAGGGGCTGAACGGGCGCAGTCTGGACTGGCCGCGCGGCAAGGTGCTGGGCGGCTCCTCCTCCATCAACGGCCTGCTCTACGTGCGCGGCCAGAAGGAGGACTACGACCACTGGCGCCAGCTCGGTAACGCCGGCTGGTCCTATGACGACGTGCTGCCTTACTTCAAACGCTCCGAGGATCAGGAGCGCGGCGCCGACGACTATCACGGCGCCGGCGGCCCCCTGGCGGTCTCCAACATGCGCATCCGCCGCGAGCTCTGCGACCGTTTCATCGAGGCCGCCGTCGAGCTGGGCATTCCGGCCAGCGACGACTTCAACGGCGCCGAGCAGGAAGGCGCCGGCTACTTCCAGCTCACCGCGCGCAACGGGCGGCGCTGCAGCACGGCAGTGGGCTACCTTCACCCGGTGCGCCACCGCGCCAACCTGGAGGTCGTCACCCATGCCCAGGTGGAGCGGCTGGTCTTCGACGGACGGCGCGCCGCGGCCGTCGCCTACCGCCGCAAGGGTGAGGCTTTCCAGGCAAGCTGCCGCGGCGAGATCGTGCTCGCCGCCGGGGCCATCGGTTCACCGCAGATCCTCATGCTCTCCGGCATCGGGCCCGGCGGCCATCTGCAGGATTTCTCGATTCCCCTGGTCCACGACCTGCCGGGCGTCGGCGGAAACCTGCAGGACCATCTGCAGGTGCGTATGGTCTTCCAGACCAAACGGCCAATCACCATGAACGACCAGGTGCGCAACCCGGCGAAAAAGGCGCTGATGGGCCTGGAGTACCTGCTGAAGCGCAGCGGGCCGCTGACCATGGGAGCCAGCCAGGTCTGCGTCTTTGCGCGCAGCTCCGAGGAAGCGGCGACGCCGGACATCCAGTTCCATCTGCAGCCCCTGAGCGCCGACAAACCGGGCGAAGGCCTGCACAAGTTTTCCGCCTTCACCTCCTCCACCTGCCAGCTGCGCCCGGAGAGCAAAGGCCGCATCGCCCTGCGCAGCCCCGACGCGGCAGAGCACCCGGCCATCCATCCCAACTATCTGAACACAGCCAAGGACCAGGCGGTGACGGTTGCAGGGATGAAGATGTCACGGCGCTTTGCGGCCACAAAGGTACTGGCACCGCTGATCGAGAAGGAACTGCTGCCGGGACCGGAGGTCGTCAGTGACGAGGACCTTCTGGAGGCCGCGCGCAACATCAGCCAGACCATCTATCACCCGGTGGGCACCTGCAAGATGGGCCGCGACCCTGGGGCCGTGGTCGACGAGCGGCTCGCGGTCCATGGGCTTCAGGGCCTGCGGGTGGTCGATGCCTCGATCATGCCGGCGATCGTCTCCGGCAACACCAACGCGCCCACCATCATGATCGCCGAGAAGGCCAGCGACATGATCCTCGCCGACTCGCGCGGCTGATCCCCCCAAAGGGCCCAGCCCGGGCTTGCCCCGCGGCTGTCCGGTTTGACTTTTCACCACTTGCCGAAATCGCTTGCCCACTGCGGTTTCGAGGACCTCATCGAAGTCCGGGACTTCGGGAAGGGAGACCGAAAATGCAGAGACGGAGGGCTTTCAGCGGAACGGGTGTCACCCTCACCCCATCCCTCCCCCATCCAAGGGCGAGGGGGAACCTCTTGCGGTGGCCGAGAATGCGTCCCCTCCCCCCTTGATGGGGGGAGGTCGGGAGGGGGGTGAGCCGCAAGCTCGATATCTGATTGATTACCCCGCCGGCACAACGAGGCGGTTAGCCGTAGCTCAAGCCAGCGGGCGACAGCGGATGGGCAGCGAAGGCCGCTACTCCGAAAGGCGGCCGGCCAGGCCCTCGACAATGGCCTGGTATTCGGGCTCGCTGTCCGGCGACAGCACCCCATGGCGGACGGCGAAGTGGAGGATCACGAGCGCGACATTGAACTTGAAGTCGGTGGTGTCGCGCAGGCGCTCCAATACGCGGGCCACGGGCCAGCGCTCAAAGGACTCGACCTCGCCGTCGGTGTTCTCGGGCCGGAAGTCGGAGGGCAGTTCCAGATCGAAACAGAACGCCACGTCGTTGCGCAGCCCTTCGGGCCTGGTGCAGCGATAGCGCACCGCGCCGACCGGAACCGCCGTGGCGGCGAGCTCGGCGGGGATGCCCGCCTCCTCCGCGCACTCCTTGATGACGTTCTCCGTCAGGCCCAGGCCGTAGGGTTGGCCGCCGGCGGTGATGTGATCGAGCTTGCCGGGCGCGGTCTGCTTTGTGCGGGCGCGCTTGCCGATCCACATCTCCAGGCCTTCGGGTCCGCGCAGAAACCCGTTCACGTGGACGCCGTAGGCCGGCAGGCCGAAGCGCGGCACCGCCGCCCGCTCCATGCGAAACAGCGGCGGCCTGCCCCAGGCAAGGGCAACGGGATAGTCCTCCCCCCGCCAGTTGGGAAAGGCGCCCTCGGCGCGCAGCGCTGCCGTCACCTCAGCCAAAGCGGCGCTGCGGGCATCGAAACTGTCCAGCGCCGGCACCAGCGCCAGGTGGCCGGCAGCGGCCGTGAAGACCTCCGGGAACGCCGTCAGACGCTCGCGGAAAGCAGGGTCCACCGCGCCCAGCGCAACGCCATCCACCAGAAACGGCAGATAGTCGGCGGGGTTCCAGCGGTGGCAGGCACGAATGCGGTCGAGGTAGCTCACGGTACGGCCAGGGTGCTCATGACCTGAACCTAGCATCGGCGTTGCTGGAGACCATGCCCTTTGCGAGGCCGCGTCCTTTGGACACACGTCTGAAAGGGCGGCCCGGCCGTCCAACAGCATGCGCTAAAGAGTTTGCAGGGCAAGCGTCGCAACGCCACATGCACGGGGAAACAGGGGACGCGCCCGCAATGACGGTTCGATTTGCATAAGCGACATCGGACTCGTTCCGAGCAGCACAATCGATTGTTCTGGTGATCGCTCTGGCGGTTATCCTGGGCGCAAAACAGGAGACACGAAGCTTACGATGGTCGAAACGTCCACCCTCGAGCCCGCCGGCAACCAGACCAGCGCCTACACCCGCCGGGCCCAGATCTTTCCCACCCTCAATCAGGAACAGATCGACCGCGCCCTGCCCTTCGGCATCCGCGAGTCCCTGGCCAAGGGCACGGTGCTGTTTTCCCGCGGCGACCGCAGCGTCGACTGCTTCATCATCCTCAAAGGCTGCATCGAGATCATCGATCCGCTGAGCGACGGCGAAGCGGTGATCACCGTCCACGGGACCCACAACTTCACCGGCGAACTGGACCTCTTCAACGGCCGCAAGATCCTGGTCGGCGGGCGCATGGGGGAGGACGGCGAGGTGCTGCGCCTCAACCGCACGGCTCTGCGCCGCTTGCTGACGGCGGAGCCGGACATCGGCGAGATCATCACCCGCGCCCTCATCCTGCGGCGCGTCGGGCTGATCCAGGAAACCCAGGGCGGCGCCACCGTCGTCGGCCACCGGCGCGAGCGCGATACTCTGCGCATCGCCCGCTTTCTACGCCGCAACGGCTATCCGCACCGGGTGCTGGATGTGGACGAGGATGGCGAGGCCCAGGCCCTGCTGAAGGAGCACGGCTGCGACCCCGGACAGTTGCCCATGGTGTTCAGTGCCGGCGAAGACAGGCAGCACAATCCCTCGAACCTGGACCTCTCCAAACGCCTGGGTCTGTTTGAGGAACCGGACGGCACCAACCCCTGCGACGTCGTGGTGGTCGGTGCCGGACCCTCGGGCCTGGCCGCGGCGGTCTATGCCGCCTCGGAGGGATTGAACACCCTGGTGCTGGAGGGCGAGGCGCCGGGCGGACAGGCCGGCACCAGCTCCAAGATCGAGAACTTCCTCGGTTTCCCCACCGGCATTTCCGGACAGGCCCTGGCCGCGCGGGCGCAGGTGCAGGCGCAGAAGTTCGGCGCAGTCATCTCCCTGCCGCGCCGGGTCGTGTCCCTCGACTGCAGCGAACGGCCCTACAGCCTGCGTATGGAGGACGGCGGCACCTTCCGCTGCTGGAGCGTGGTGGTCGCCTCCGGCGCCACCTATCGCCGCCTCGACCTGGACAACCTCGCCGACTACGAGGGCGCGGGCGTCCACTATGCCGCTACGGCGCTGGAGGCCGATCTCTGCCGGGATGAAGAGGTGGTCGTGGTCGGCGGCGGAAACTCGGCGGGACAGGCAGCGGTCTTCCTGTCACGCTACGCCGCCCATGTGCATATGCTGATCCGCAGCGACAGCCTGGCGGCCAGCATGTCGGATTATCTGGTCGGGCGCATCGATGCCTCCCCGCGCATCACCCTCCACCGCAACACCCAGATCACCAGGCTGGAGGGCGCGCGCTATCTGGAGCGGGTGACCTGGCGCAACACCCTTGACGGCAGCGAGGAGACACACAGAGTCTCCAACCTCTTCCTGATGATCGGCGCCAGCCCCAACACGGACTGGCTGCAAAGCTGCGTGCGTCTGGACGACAAGGGCTTTGTCTGCACCGGTCCGGACACCGGCGGCGACTGGCCACTGGAGCGCGAGCCCAATATCCTGGAGACCAGCCAGCCGGGCGTCTTCGCCGTCGGCGATGCGCGCGCCGGATCGGTGAAGCGCGTCGCCTCGGCAGTCGGCGAAGGGTCGATCTCGGTCCAGTTCCTGCACCGCGTGCTGCCGGAACTGACCCCGGATTGACGGGACACCCGCTTATGAGAACGAGCAGAGGAGGAGCGAGCAGATGGATCTGAGTGACTTGCCGAAAATCGGCGAACCGGGCAGCGCCGCGCCCTTCCAACTGGAGCGCTTGAAGGGATGGGGGCTGGAAGACCTGGCCTCCGCCTGCACCACGCGCGAGCAGGCATTGCTGGCCCATCACTGTGCACTTTACGTGCGCATGGTCTGGCAGGACCTCTTCGGCGAAACGAGCGAGCCGCCGGTCGCGGCCCTGCGTCACTGCGTCGGCGAACTGATCGGCCGGCCGGGCATGCTGGAGCGGGCCGACCGGGGCGCCCATCTGGAAACCGGCGTCGACTACCGCGCCAGTGCCGCCGACGAAGACCCGGCACTCTACCAGGCCGTCGCTGAAGCGCTGAAGAGCCACAAACCGGGTTAGCCGACGCCGGGCCTTCAGCGCGGCCCCAACCATTTAGTCGACGGGGCGCCGCCGGGACATTAGAGATGGTCCGGCCATGAAACTGCGTTCCCTCACCCTGCTGCTGCTCGCCGAACTGGCCGCCATGTCGCTGTGGTTCGTCTCCGCCGCCGTGCTGCCGGACATGCTGCGCGAGGCGGCGGTCTCGCCCTTCCGCCAGGCGGCGCTGTCGAGCGGCGTACAGGGCGGCTTCGTCGTCGGCTCCCTGATCTCCGCCATCCTCAACATTCCCGACCGCTACGACCCGCGCCGGGTGCTCGCCGCCTCGGCCATCGCAGCCGGCGGAGTGAACGCCCTGCTGTTGGTGGTGGCGCCCGGCAGCCTGACCGCCATCGCCGCACGCTTTGCCACCGGCGCCCTGCTGGCCGGGGTCTATCCTGTGGGCATGAAGATCGCCGTCGGCTGGGGCGAGCGCGACCGCGGCTTCCTGGTCGGCGCGCTGGTGGGGGCCCTGGCGCTGGGCTCGGCCTCGCCTTACCTCATCGCCTTCGGCGGCGGCGCCGACTGGCGCCTGACCGTCGCCGCCGCCTCCCTCGCGTCACTCTTCGCCGGGCTCCTCAGCCTGGGTGTCGGCCTCGGCCCCTACCACCGCACGGCCCAGCGCTTCGATCCGAGCGTCATCGTCACCGCCTGGACCAACCGCCGGGTCCGCCTGGCTTACGCCGGCTACCTCGGCCATATGTGGGAGCTCTACGCCATGTGGGCCTGGGTCGCCGCGGCGACCGCGGTGTCTTACGGCGCCACCCTGCCGGCCGACGATGCCGAGCAACTCGCCAAGCTCACCGCCTTCCTCGCCATCGGCGCCGGTGCCATCGCCTGCGTCCCCGCCGGCTTCGCCGCCGACCGCATCGGCAAGGCGCGGGTCGCCATGCTGGCCATGATCGTCAGCGGCGCGGCGGCCATCGGCACGGCGGCGACCTTCGGCGGCCCGGTCTGGCTGACCTTCGCCATCGTCATCGTCTGGGGCATCAGCATCATTCCGGATTCCGCACAGTTCTCCGCCCTGGTTGCCGATGCGGCACCTCCGGCCCAGGCCGGCAGCCTGATGACCTTCCAGACCGCGCTCGGCTTCGCCCTCACCTTCGTCACCGTGCAGGTGACGCCGGTGCTGGCGGAGACCTTCGGCTGGTCCACCGTGCTCTTCGGCCTCGCCCTCGGCCCCGCCTTCGGCATCGCCGCCATGGCCAGGCTGCAGGCCATGCGCTGACAACGGCGTTCAGTCCTGGCCCGTGAACATGGCATCGAAGCGGCGCTGGATCTCTTCCGGTTCGAGGGTCTCGATGGAATGACCGATCAGCCAGTCGTAGCCGAAGGGATCGCGCACGGTGCCGGAGCGTTCGCCGTAGAAGTGATCCTGCGGCGGACGCAGCAGTTGCGCGCCTGCCGCCACGGCGCGCTCGATCAAGGCGTCGGCATCATCCACATGGAGGTGGATGACGAAGGAGATCGGACCATCATCGTGCTCCTGGGCATGGATGCCGAACTCCGGATAGGCGTCAGACAGCATCAGGGTCGTCCCCCCGAGCAGAAGCTGCGCATGGCCGACGCGCCCGTCCCGGTCGGAGAGGCGGAACTTCTCGGTCGCGCCAAAGACGGTCTTGTAGAATTCGATCGCCTCCCCCGCCGACTTCGGGCGCAGGTAAGCGAAGAGTTCGTGGATCGCCATGATGACGTCCCTCCCATTTTCGGACCTTGGTCGTCAGGCTTGAGTGTCCATCAACGCCGTCTCGGCGTCTTGAAGGTTTTTGACCCTGATGCCGATCTGCCGTCAGAGCGCGACATGGCGGGCGAAGGGCGGCGCCAGACGGCGATAGCCGCCGGGCGTCAGACCGGAGAAGTGACGGAACTCGCGGGCGAAGTGGGCCTGGTCGGCATAGCCCTGCCAGGCCGCCAGATCCGCCAGGGATGACGCCGCCGCCGAGTTGGCGCCCTCTGCCAGGGGCCCCAGGGCACGCCCGAAGCGCAGCAGCCTGGCATAGGTCTTCGGCTTCAACCCGACGGCTTCCGCAAAGCGCTTGGTAAAGGCCCGATGGCTGTACCCGCTCGCCGCCGCAACGGCGCCGACCGGCGCCCCGGCGTCAAACCCGGCCAGCGCCTGGGCGATCAGCGGATCGAGTCCCGTAACCTTCGGCAGCCGCGCAACGAGGGCGGCTTCGAAGATGGCGAGCCGCTGCGCCGCCGATCCGGCCTCCCACAGCGCCGCGCGCAGGGCGGCCACCGGCGCCGCGCCCCAGACATCCTCCAGCGGCAGGTGCCGGCCTACGAAGGTGCCGGCGGACGCGCCGATCAGAAGCCCGGCCGCGCCCGGCCGCAGCGCAGCCCCGACTGTCGGGACGGGCCGGGAGACGTCTTTCACGTAGGGCGCCAGGCGGGGGCCGCCGATCACCGCCGTACTCACGGTGTATCCTTCGAGGTCGTCACGATGGCGGAAGATCCGCAGCGGCTGTTCTCCCAGACGAATGACCAGCTGGGTGGACACGGAGGGCAGCACCGCCTCGCGACCGCTGCCGGAGGGCGCGCCGGAAGGATCCGATGCCCAGAGCTGCTGGACGAAGGGCCTCAAAACGTCACGTGGCTGGCGTACAAGTGGCACGGCCACCTCCGGCTGGCAGTCCCGGCACTACATTAGGCGACAGCGGCGGGCTTGAGGAGACTTTCGGCTCGATTTCCCGCAGACAAGAGGCTAAGCACTGGCGGAGGGCGCGCAGTCGCGTTTCTTTCGCCCGACCGTCCTCATCGACCCCCAACGGTGGCATCCTCGTGACAAGCATGGATCTGAACTGGCGTGCGGAAGAAGCCTGCATGAGCGCCTGGCCTTCGCCGCGGCAGATGCTTTTGAGCGGCTGGCTGCTGCGCGCCGCCGGCGGTTCCACCCGGCGGACCAATTCGGTGAACCCTCTGCGCGGCGGCCCGCGCGATCCGGCCGCGATCCTGGCTGCTGCCGAAGCCACCTACGCCGCGCTCGATCAAGCGGCGCTGTTTCGCGTCCCCTCCATCGCGGCAGCGATGGACGGGCCGCTGGCCGCCGGCGGCTACACGGCGGAGGGCGAGACCCTGACCCTCTTCAACGGCCTCTCCGCATGGCCGCAGCCGCAAAGCGCGGCGACGCGCCTGACCGCGGAGGCCGACGGCGACTGGCTGCAGGCCCGCGCAGCCCTGAGCCCCGCCGATACGGCCGACAGCGCGGTCTTCGAAACGATGGTCCGCACCATCATGCTGCCGCGCATCTTCGCCGCCACCCGCCACGAAGGGGCGGTGGTCGCCCTGGCCTATGGCGTAGTGCACGACGGCCTGGCCGTGGTCGAAGCGGTCGTGACCGATTCCCGCTGGCGCCAGCGCGGCTTTGGCCGCCAGACCGTCGGCGCGGTCCTGAACTGGGCTGTAACTGCGGGGGCCGGGGCCGCCTGCCTGCAGGTGGTGGCCGACAATCCCGCGGCCCTTGCGCTTTACCGCTCCCTCGGCTTCACGACGGAGCTCTACCGCTACCACTACCGCCGCAAGTTCCCGACGGTGTGACTGACCCTAGTCTTTGCCCGGCTCGTCACGGCCTTCCAGGAAGGCGCGGGCGCCGGGATGCCACGGCACGCCCAGGTCGTCGGCGCCCTGGCCGGCGGGGACCAGTTCCGTTCCGACCAGGGCGGAGGCCACCAGCCAGGCATGCCGTTCGGGAAACTCGGCCCGGGCGACCAGAAGCCGCTCCTCCAGCGGCAGCAACAGGCGAAGGGCGACGGGCCCGTAGGCGGCAAAGCCGTTGCTGCCGGCCAGCATGGCCGTGGCGTCGTCCGGGCCCAGGGTTGCCACGTCCATCTGCGCCGTCGCCAGCAGGCTGGCCAGGCGCCCGGCGTTGGGCGCACGCGCGACCCGCGACTTCGCCGCCGGAAGGTGTTCGTCCAGCAGCCCCACCACCCGCTTGGCCAGATCGTAGGTCGTGGGATCGGCCCTGTGGCAGCCGATCAGCAGGTGCTTCTTGCGGTAGACCACCCACTGCCCATAGGGCGTGTGGCCGGCCAGCAGCACGGCCGCCGCCGCCCCGGCGGCGGCCCGCAGGCCGAGGCCGAGCGCTTTGCGGCGGGTGCGGCTCGCGATCACTCTTCGAAGACGTCCTCGTTCAGCACGGCGGTGACGACATAGTTCGGCACGTCGACCACCTGCCCGATCCGCAGGTCGACCGCAACGCTGGCCAGGATGTAGGCCTGCTCCGCCGTCAGGCCGTGCTCGCGCTGAATGTAGGCGATCATCTTGATCAGCGCGTCGCGGGCCGCCAACGTCAGGTCCTCGGAAAGGTTGGTGAGGTTGGCGATCTTCTCGCTGTCCAGATAGGTGTGCGGCGGCGGGACCTCGCCCGCGGCCTTCAGCGGCAGGCCGATGGTCTGGTAGAACTTGGAGGGCTCGATGTCCTTGATCTGCGTGCCGCCTTCGACTTCGGGCCCCGTGATGACCGCGCCCTGGCCCTTGCGGATGTCCACCGTCAGCGTCACCACGGCGCCGGTTTCGATCGCCGTGCCGGACACCTCGCCGTCGCCCTGGGCAAAGTGCACATCGCCGACGAAGAGCCCGCAGCCATCGACGAAGCAGGGCAGCAGCAGGGTGGTGCCGACCTGCATCTGCTGCACGTCCATGTTGCCGCCGTTCTCGCGCGGCGGAACGGTGCGCAGGCACTGATCGCGCGCCGGGCCTTCGGGTCCGCAGACTGCCGAGGGCAGAGCCCCGATGGGCTGCGGCGGCAGGGCGACGCCGCCGGCCTCGGCGAGCAGCCTTTCGCGCTCCAGCCAGGTCTCGACCTCCGGCTGGCCGGGCATCACGCCGACCGATCCCATGAAGGCCTCGTAGGGCACCTTGATGCCGGGCATCTGGTCGGAGACGGCGTGGGTGCGGCTCAGTTTCCAGTTCACCAGATAGGGCTCGGTGTAGATGTCGCGCAGGAAGCCGAAGCCGGGCACGATGACGGTGTAGCCGTATTCGTCCGGTTCGATGTCGACCAGGGTGACGGCGATCACGTCGCCGCGCTCGGCGCCCTCGATGTGCACCGGTCCGGTCATGGGATGGACGAGATTGAGGTCCAGCGCGGCCAGATCGTCGGCATTGGAGTCGAGCGTGAGATCGGAATCCAGCGCATCGCGCGTGTGGTAGATGATCATGTCACCGGGGTTGGCGCGGACCACCGCGGGGATGTCCGGGTGGTAGCGGTTGAAGCAGTTCGGGTCGTCGACGCAGTGCGCGCCCTGCTTGTCGACCACCACCCGGTTTTGCCACTTGACGTCGGTGGTGTCGGCCACCGCGTCCCCAACGGCGCCCCCCACAGCTCCGATGAGTGCAACCGCACAGACTACGAACAGAGTTCTCATGATCCGCCTCCTGTCATGCCGGCTTTTTCTTGGTTCTTCGCGCCGGCGCATTGCAGCGGGATGTCCCAGCCAGATCCCCGCCGAACAAACAGGATAGCAGGGCCGCCTTTAGACCGGAAGTTTGGCGACCGGAAGGTAGGGCGGTCCGGTCATAGGCCTACGCCCGTTACGGCGCAAGGTGGACGACCAGGTCGACGCCCTCCTCCGCGCCCGGGGCCTGGAACGGGCGGGTGAAGTGGTCGTAGTCCGCTTCGCAGGGCGAGAAGGCATGCCCGCCGTCCGCATTTCGCTGCCGCAGGCGCGCCTTGCAGAGGTCGTCGGGCAGGTCGAGAAAATGCAGACGGTGCGCCTGCGGGCGGCGGGGCCGCCGTCATCAGCCCGGCGCGCTAACGCGCGCCCACAGACTGCTGACCCACGTGCTTTTGCGAGGTCAGTACCGTGTCCACCTCGAAAACCTGGCGCAGGCAGCGCGCGATGTAGTCGCCGGTCTGCACGTCCAGGCCGTCGACCTGGATGTCGATGGCAAGGTCGCGGCCCTTCGGCCCCGTCACGTCGCTGTGCCAGCGGGTCGGCACCAGGCCGCGCTTGGCGAAGAGCTCCAGGACCCGGGGCATCACCCCCGGCTCCGCCGCGGCCAGGATGGAAAAGCAATAGACCGGCGCCGCAGAGGGCGCCTTAGGGGGCGCCCCAGAGGGCGTCTGAGTACTGAGGTCAGAACGGGAAGCAGCGGGCCGCAGGGCGGCCGGCGCGTAAACGGAATGCATGGAAGCGGACATTGTCTGTCCCCTGAAACGGTGATCGCGAAACGTCGAAACGGCTTGTCCCGGCTACCCTCTGGGTGCCGGGTCCGTAATTCGAATGGCGATGCCGTTCAGGCGGAAACTGTCCATAACGCCCCGATGAGACGGGATCGGGGCGCAAATGTCAACCGGGGCAAGCGGGGTGCATGGGCAGTCTACGCCCTTCCCACCCCGCGTTAACCCTGATTATCCCCGCAGATCTAGGGCTCGATGGCCTCGACCTCGATGATCAGGTCCACCTCGTCGCCGACGGCCGGAGCATAAGCAGCCATGCCAAAGTCGGTGCGCTTCAGGCTGCCGCGGGCGGAGAAACCCACCGTCTCCTTGCCCTGATAGATCGGGTGTGGCGACTTCAAGTTGAAGGTGACGTCCAGGGTAACCGGCCTGGTCACCCCTAGCAGGGTCAGATCGCCGGTCAAGGTGCCGGTGTTGTCGCCGGTCTTGGCGATCCCGGTGCTGGTGAAGGTGATGGTCGGGAACTGCTCGACGTTGAAGAACTCGGCGCTGCGCAGGTGCTCGTC